GCTCCCATATATAGTTTCGTCCGATTTCATGTAAATGGTGCCCAAAGTCCCTATATATCCTTCGATTTGCACGAAATTTGGCACAACGTTCTGAATTGAGCCTAGAATGATGTCTGCCAAGTTTCGTGAAAATCGGTCCTGATTTAGATATAGCTCCCATATATAGTTTCGTCCGATTTCATGTAAATGGTGCACCAAAGTCCCTATATATCTTACGATTTGCACGAAATTTGGCATAGCGTACTGAATTGAGTCTAGACTGATGTGTGCCAAGTTTCGTGAAAACCGATTGAGATTTAGATAGTGCTCCGTTATATCATAGATTGATTTTAAGGAATTGACGCACCAAGGATCCAATATATGGCTGATTGGAACGTACTGAAATTAGTATTACGTACGTACTGAAATTAGTATTACCTAACCTGTGACAAGTTTCGTTGAAATCGGCATAGGAAATTGAAATTGTGCATAGAATTTCTTAGTTGCTTTTTCTAGAAGAACAGACCTATTGATATTTGTTTGAAGTCGATTTACATACTTTTGTCCCATTGTAACAATCGAATGACATGTTTATGAATAGATCTGAGTCGATTCATATTTAGATAAATATCACATATTTTATTTCATCCAATTTCATGTTAATAGTCCTGTTTAATATACCCATAGTGGTGAACGGTATCATATAGTCGGCCGGTCCGACTTTACTACTTTCCTTACTGGGTGTTAAGACCAAAAAATGTTATTACAAAATTCCAAACCATCAAAATAGACTAAAATATTTCAATAACACTCATCGCCCATTTTTGATCCTTGGTCCTCTGAAAAAATACCTTAACCTCATGCGGATTATAGGACAAGTGTTTTTTTCTCGCAAATTGTAACCAAAACATGAACATCATGCAATGGCAGATATCATCGCCAATACACCACCGAAAAAAGCCATCCAACTGACCACCCTTCAGATATGGTATGTGACCACTTGCAGCGAATGTCAAATCGACAAAAAAATGGACACAATGAAACGCTACATAGTCAACTGAAAGTTGAAAAAGGTACGGGGTTTGTTAAGGTCATGACACGTGAGAGCATGGAAGAAAATAAATTAAAAGAAGAATAATAAATATTTCGTTACCACTTTTTTGTCATAGCAAAAAAAATATTTGTGAATTTTTTGTTTTGTGATTGGAAAGTGGGTTAATTTTACTAGGGCAAGGGGCGTAGGTGGTATTTTTGATGGGGTGAATACAAATGTACAAAATTGTGTTCACATATTCCAAGGAGGGCGATAATCATCCATTGTATTAAAAGAGCAATATTTCTTATTTTTCAAATTATTGTATAAAGTTCCGATCTCTCGACACCCTTTTATTTATGGAGCATGAGGGAGTATAAAAATGAGGGGTGGCCATTATTCGTCTTCATAAAAGAAAATCAAATTCTTTACACCAGAAATTGCTTAAACTGAGATTCATCCTCCTATACTGGCAATTCCACGCCACTGTCTCTTTGATCAAATAAAGATATGTTTTTGTAATAACAAAAAAAAAAAAAAAAAAAAAAAAAATACAAAATCAAATGACCCTGCCAACAGTCAACGCCATGGGTTGAAGCTGATGCCGAAAAAAAACGTTCCAAAATCAACATGGGGCGTTCAGCATCATCATTCCAGCTGTTCTTGTTTGGGTTGTCTAGCTTTGTACCCTTAACATGAAAAAAATTAAATCACCATTCGAAACGCCAAAAACACCTTTATCTGGTATTACAAAAAAATGCAAACTGAAATAGATGACCGTATGACACTTTTTCCAGGAACTTTTAGGGGTTTCAACGTTTCTGAATAAATGAGGATGGGGATGAAATAAAAATTATTTAAACGAATTTTGGATGCCTAATATGCGTAGATGTAAAAAATATTTTCTCAAGGACTTTTGCTAGGCTTGGGTCATTAAAACCTGGAACTTATGTTAAAAACCGAAATCCATTAAGTCAGCTATCGAGACACCATTTGCTGAAATATTATCAGTTTAAGGTATATTTTTCCAACCTGTCTAAAGAAGTACCTAGCAAAGACCATACCTTTCTGAATTTTTATAACCTTCACCACACTGAGGAACAGGGTATTATGTCTTTGTGCATATGTTTGTAACAGGCAAAAGGAAAGGAGACAGACACATGGTTCCTCTTGAGAATATGCATAGAATCACTTTCTGAGTCGTTTTATGCATGTCCGTCTGTCCATCCGTCCGTCCGTCTGTCCATGTTTAATTGTAAACAAATAAATGCAGGTCGCATTGACTATCCGAATTGGATGAAATTTGGCACAAGTCACGTATTTGGTCCAAAGACGAACCCTATTGAAATTGTAGAAAATCGGATCAGATTTAGATATGGCTCCCATATATATTTGCATCCGATTTTATGTAAATGGTCCACCAACGTCTTTCGATTTGCACGAAATTTGGCATAGTGAACTGAATAAAGTCTACGATAACGTGAGCTAAGTTTCGTACAAATCGGTTCACATTTCGATATAGCTCCCATATATATTTTCGTCCGATTTTATGTAAATGGTGCACCAAAAACTCTATATATCCCTCGATTTGCACGAAATTTGGCATAGAGCATTGAATTAAGTCCAGAATGATGTGTGCTAAGTTCCGTGAAAATCGGCTCAGATATAGATATAGCTCCCATATATATTTTCGTCCGATTTTTTGTAAATGGCGCACCAACGTCCCTATTTATCTTTCGATTTGCACGAAATTTTGCATAGAGTACTGAGTTAATTCCAAAAGGATGTGCGCTAAGTTCCGTGAAAATCGGTTCAGATTTCGATATAGCTCCCATGTATATTTTCGTCCGATTTTATGTAAATGGTGCACCAAAGTACTTATATATCTGTCGATTTGGACGAAATTTGGTATAGAGTACTGAATTAGGTACCGAATGATGTGTGTTAAGTTTCGTGAAAATCGGATCAGATTTAGATATAGCTCACGTGTATAGTTTCTTCCAATTTTAGGTAAATGGTGCACCAAAGTCCCTATATATCTTTCGATTTGCGCGAAATTTTGCATAGGGTACTGAATTGAGTCCAGAATGATGTGTGCTAAGTTTCGCGAAAATCGGTTCAAATTTCGATATAGCTCCCGTATACAGTTTCGTCCGATTTTATGTAAATGGTGCACCAAAGTCTCTATATACCTTTCGATTTGCACGCAATTTAGCATAGGGTACTGAATTAGGTCCGCAATGATGTGTGCTAAGTTTCGTGAAAATCGGTTTAGATTTATATCTAGCTTCCGTATATAGTTTCGTCCGATTTAAGGTAAATTGTGTACCAAAGTCCCTATATATCATTCGATTTGCACAAAATTTGGCATAGCATACTAAATTAATTCCAGAATGATGTGTGCTGTGTTTCCTGAAAATCGATTCAGATTTAGATATGGCTCCCATATATATTTTCGTCCGATAGGCAAATAGCACACCAAAGTCCCTATATATCATTCGATTTGCACGAAATTTGGCATAGAGTACTGAAGCAAGTCCATAATGATGTGTGCTAAGTTTCGTGAAAATCGGTTCATATATAGATAAAGCTCCCATATATATTTTCGTTCTATTTTATGTAAATGGTGCACCAATGTCCCTATATATCCCTCGGTTTGCACGAAATGTGGCATAGAGTTCTGAATTAAGTCCAGAATGATGTGTGCTAAGTTTCGTGAAAATCGGTTCACATATAGTTGTAGCTCCCATTTATATTTGCACCCGATTTTATCTAAATGGTGCACCAAAACCCTATACATCCCTCGGTTTGCACTGAATTAAGTCCAGAATGATGTGTACTAAGTTTCATGAAAATCGGATCAGATTTAGTTATAACTTTCGTATATAATTTCGTTTGATTTTAGGTAAATGGTGCACCAAAAAACCTATATATCCGTCGATTTGCACGAAATTTGGCATAGAGTACTGAATTAAGTCCAGAATGATTTGTGCTAAGTTTCGTGAAAATCGGTTCAGATATAGATATAGCTCCCATATATATTTTCGTCCGATTTTATGTAAATGGTGCACCAAAGTCCCTATATATATTTCGATATGCACGAAATTTTGCACAGGGTACTGAATTAAGTCTAGAAAGATGTGTGCTAATTTCCGTGAAAATCGGTTCAGATTTAGATATAGCTCCCATATATATTTTCGTCCGATTTTATGTAAATGGTGCATCAACGTCCCTATTTATCTTCCGATTTGCACGAAATCAGGCATAGAGTACTGAATTAAGTCCAGCATGATGTGTGTGCTATGTTTCCTGAAAATCGGTTCAGATTTAGATATGGCTCCCATATTTATTTTCGTCCGATTTTAGGCAAATAGGGCACCAAAGTCCCTATATATCATTCGATTTGCACGAAATTTGGCATAGTGAACTGAATTAAGTCTAGGATAACGTGTGCTAAGTTTCATAAAAATCGGTTCAGATTTAGATCTAGCTCCCATATACCGTCGTCCGATTTAAGGTAACTGAGGCACCAAAGTCCATATATATTTTTCCGTTATGCATAGCGTACTGAATTATTGATGTGTGCTAAATTTCGTGAAAATTCATTTCAGATTTAGATATAGCTCCCGTATATATTCTCGTCTGATTTAATGTAAATTGTGCACTAAAGACCCAAAGTTTGACCGACTGGTGCCTGATTGATATTACATTTTAAACAGTGAAGCAAAATTTGTTTTTACAAAATTGAGACTAGATTACAGAATGGCATGTGTTGGTTTGATGTTAGTCGGTGTACTTATAGATAAAGATCACATATTTAAGTTCGTCCAATTTCATGTCAATGTTTGCTTCGAAAAGGATACATCTGTAGAATATACCCAAAGTGGTGAAGGGTATCATATAGTCGGCCCAGTCTAACTTCTCCACTTTCCTTACTGGTTGGTATTCCAAAACTCAATGTTTCGTATTAATTTTTTTTCGTACTCACCTGACATATTCAAGCGCAGCTCTCCCTCATAGTATTCACCAACTTTGACCCAATTATATTGACCCTCCTTGATCTGTTTAAAGTGGATAATGTTATAACGAGCTGGACCATCACCATTATTATCGAAACGGAAGTGATCACCGCTGAGGCCTGGAAATGTATAAAAAAAAATAAATAAAAATTTAAAATGAAATTAAAAATAATGAAAATATTTCTATTACAAAAATAATATATATTTCTGAATTATATAAAGTAATAAAAATATTTAATAAAAATAAATATTACATATATAACTATAATAAATTATCCATGTCACTAAGACCTGGAAGTTTATATTTAATAAATATAAATATATTTTATTATACAAAAAAATTTTAATAAATAATAAATATAATAAAAAATATTATAATAAAATTTGTGTATTTTTATTTTCCAATTTTTTTCAATGAAAAAATAAAAACTTATATTTTACATATATTTGTATTATATTACTTCGAGGCCAGTGACCAAAAATTTATTTTAATTTTTTGTGGAAATTATTTATATTTTAAATACAATAATTAACTTATCTTTTCTTCGATACTCACCCTCAAATTCCACTTTACGTAAAAATCGCAGTAAATCTGCTCCCTTTGTGGGTTTCATTGCCTCACACAATGATGGCTTGCCGCCGCACAATTCTCGATGCATATCTCTGGGGAATTAGAAAACGACGATGATGATGAAGAAGAAGAAAATGACAAGAGAATATGAAATGACATAAGTCATCAAGCTAATTGTTAATGTGAACTACTGCTAAATGCCGATAAGCTAATTAACATGACCTTGAACTTCCATGCGAAATGTAAAGCATTAAACCAATACAATCATATTCAAAAGGGACTTTTTGTGATTGCAGTTGTATAATTTTAAATTTTAGTAATAATTATTGATAACACTTTGAGCCAAAATCGAGGTCATGGTCCGGGGTGGAAATTCCTATTTGAGGTGAAATTCCTTAGTGGGTGTATGAATATCCCAGGAGGAAAGAATCACCATGGGTCATGGAAAATATGGTGTTATTATTTTTTGTTGGCGACCCCATTATCATATCTCCGTTTGGGGTTTTTACATACCCACCAAAGTTATTCACCGTAAATAAGAATTTTTCACACCCAAAATTTTGAAATAAATATTTATTTAATTAAAATTAATTAAAGAAATGTAAGTTTTTTAAATATATTTTCCTCCTTACCTCAAAGCATAGGCAAATGCCATAACAGCATCGCTAACAAATTGCAGTTGATCCTCAAAATCTGTGTCCTCACGGCTCAGACGTTCAGTTTTGGAACACGTACGATTATAATTGTTATACGGGGTACTGGAACTGCCAGGATAACGACACTGGAAATGGTCTTCCCAGAATTCTAAAAATGTAAAAAAATTGCATTTAAATTTTGAAATTATCTCTTAAGTGAATGGGTATTATTTATCTTTTGAAGATATCCTTTAAAGGACTTGGTATTATTTCCAATAACATAATTAAAAATTATTATCTGCTTAATTTTTTTTTTTTGGAAATAACTCCTCTAAAAAACTTACCCACAAACCATGGATTCCGTACATTGTTCTCAACTGTCAAATTGAGAAAATATTCCTCAAAGCCCTTAACAGGATTTGCCTGAGGCTGCACAGAAAGGGTGCCTTCGACCTAAAAATTAAAAAAAAAACATGTTAAATAATTGATTTTATGAAATGAATATAATAAAAAACCAGTGAACGGAGCAGTACAGTGGGACGGGGCCGACACAACTACTACGGAGCTCTAAGTTCTGCGGATGTTTATACAAAAATTCATGATATTTGCACCATATTGTTCGATTGGAGGTCAACAGCATATCTTCCTAACACTGGCATATTTTCCGAATATTATTAATATTCAGTAAAGCTCTTCTAATTACATGTTCAGATTCCCTTCACCGTGGGTGTTGTTGTTATGTTCGGCTTATAATTGTGGCATATATATCGTCTCCATAAAAACACAAAAAAATTAAGTTTTCGGTCCACTTCATTCCAAAATTATTATATGATCATCACCGAAAATTATAGGCGTTGTCCTTGACCATAACTGGAACATCATAAAATGTTGCAAAGTGATCAGGCTATATATCCGCTCTAAAGTGTGGTAATGGGTTACTAAATAATATATGAATACGTAAACACCTGTAAATATTTAAGTGTAACTCCCACATCCGAGTACATACGACAATTTAATTGGTATCAATTTAAAGGCCAACCACTCATCTTCGATACACCATCAACTTCTCGGGCCTATGTCCTTCAGGAGTAAATATATACGCTATAGAATACAAACATTGTCAGTTTTCACACAAAAGTCAGGGTTCATTTGACCAGCTAAATATTGACCCATCTTTATCAAAACAGGCACGCTTGTTCCTTGGCCCGAAAAATTTCGTGATTTTCTGACCATAGTTGCGGCCTCTAGAGCGACCAGAAAAACCGACAAAAATTAAATATTTGGTCCATTTCATCCCCTAAATATTAATCGATCTTTCCCAAAAACAATAGGGGTCTTCATTGGCCAGAACCCATCCAACATGCAAAATTTCGTGAAGATTGGTCCATAACTGTGGCCTGTATCGTGTTTACAAATTATAATGGACAGACGGACGGACACACATGTCTAGATCGACTCAGCTAGTCGAGATATGACGATCGGTATACTTAAAGGTGGGTCTAGGACCAATATTTCGTGGCGTTACAAACTTTTGGGGCTGCATAAAGCTACAATACCCTGACAATATACTTGTGTAGGGTATAAAGGGAGTTATATGAGGACTACCCCGAAAAAGGAGTGAATATTAATAATTTTTGGTGGGGAGATTTGTTACCATATACGACTACAAAATGCCAAATTTCAGCGAATTCGGTTGAAAAACTCGTTCAAGAACCTCAAAATATCGAAAATTGGGGTTACCCTTATATGTGGGCTACCCGAAAAAATTGACCTATATTCAAAATTTTTTGTGGAGATATTTGCTACCCAATAAGAACTCAAATTACTAAATTACAGCCAATTCGGTGAAAAAAGATCAAAACCCCCCAAAAACTGGAAATTGGAAGGTGCCGTACGGGGGCTACCAGAAAAAGTGGACATATATTTATAGTTTTTAGTGGGGAAATATGATACCCAACAAAAACTCAATGTACCAAATTTCAGCGAATTCAGTTGAAAAACGCGCTCAAGAACCCTAAAATACCGAAAATTGGGGAGTACTCTTATACGGGGGCTACCCGAAAAAAATTTACCTATATTTATAATTTTTAGTGGGGAGATTTGCTACATAATAAAAACTCATTGTACCAAATTTCAGCGAATTTCGTTGAAAAATGAGATAAACCCACTCAAGAACCTCAAAATACCGAAAATTTGGGGGTACCCTTATATGGGAGCTATGCCTAAAAGTGGACAAAAGACGACTCAATGCAAAATTTTAGCGATCTATCTCATTTCGTTTAGACGCTAGAGTGATTACAACAGACAGACAGACGGACATGGCTATATCGTCATAGAATTTTACGCTGATCAAGAATATATATACTTTATAGGGTCGGAAATGATTATTTCGATGAGTTACAAACCGAAAAACAAAATTAATATAAACTCCATACTATGGTGGAGGGTATAAAAAAGCAATTTTAAATTTCTGTGGTCTAAGAAGACATGTTAAGGCCTTTAAACGCTTCTAACGCCTAAAAAACGCATTTTAATTTTCTGTGGTCTAAAAATTTCCTTTAAACGCTTCTATCGCCTAAAAAGCCATTTCAAATTTCTGTGGTCTTAAAGGGCATTTTAAGCCCTTTAAACGCTTCTATCGCCTAAAAAAGCCATTTTAAATTTCTTTGGTCTAAAAAGGCATTTCTAGACCTTTAAACGCTTCTATCGCCTAAAAAGCCATTTCAAATTTCTGTGGTCTTAAAGGGCATTTTAAGCCCTTTAAACGCTTCTAACGCCTAGAAAACGCATTTTAATTTTCTGTGGTCTAAACAGGCATTTTAAGGTCTTTAAACGCTTCTATCGCCTAAAAAGGCATATTAAGGCCTTCAAAGGCTTCTATCGCCCAAGAAAAGGCATTTTAATTTTCTGTGGTCTAAAAATGCATTTAAAGGCCTTCAAAGGCTTCTATCGCCTAAAAAGGCATATTAAGACCTTTAAAGTCTTCTATCGCCTAAAAAAATCATTTTAATTTTCCTTGGTCTAAAAATGCATTTTAAGGCCTTTAAAGGCTTCTATCGCCCAATAAATGCATTTAAGGCCTTTAAAGGCTTCTAAAGGCCCCTAAAGGCTTTTATCGCCTAAAAAACGTCTTTTAAGGCCTGTATAGGCTTCTATCGCCCATTTAAAATATCCCCGCCTATTGTAGGCCACATAAAAATATTTTCTAAAAACCCACAGATTATTAATCTCCATCGCAAAATATTTAAAATAATGTTTCAATTCTATAAAAACATCTACTACCGAGAAATATGCATCCACTCGGCCCGCAGGCCATAGGCCACAATTGCAGTGATTGCCATTAAAATAACTCATTGGATTATGTGCTCCTTGATTTTCCTACAAATTCCAGGGATGTTTTGAAAATTTACCTTTAATAGATTTTAACCAGGCAACAAATAACAATGTTTCCACACACACTCCACCCCCCACTAGTGAAAGCTGCTGCAACAACTGATTCAATGAATGTCGGAAATGAATGCCAAAGGGTTAACAACACTGAAGTTGGGAAGGCGCCATAACGTAGCTAGAGATTTTCCGAACTACTACCCACAATGGTACACTCAGCTTAATTGTTGTTGATATTTCAATGGAAACCTTTACTGGCTGATGGCATCCAGTCAACCTATCAATTCGAATGGCTATTTGAAGACAAAATAACATTAACGGTCATCATCATTTAGGGCAGATATTTTCAGGAGAATAAAAAAGGTAGGCCAAAGAAAAAAAATTCAATAGAATGTTTCTAGTTGAAATTCCAGACGTGTGTGTCTATGTCTACGTGTGTGTGTGTGTGTGCGTTCGTGCATTACCTATCAGCTGATACTATCTGTTGGAAATTATCAAAATTCAACACAATTTGGGAAAATGGTTTTGTGTTTCTTCCTCTCCTCTTGTTTGGTTGATGCTCCTCTTGAATGGAGAAGTGCTTATCATTTTTAGACATTCTACGAAGTGACTAGAGCTACTGCTGTCACGTTACTTGTTAGACACACTTGAAATGTTTGGAATTTCTTTTGCTGTGTAATGATAAAAATGTAATTTTCTTCCTCACACCCCGTACTGCTCCCCTCCGCAAAAATTTCAAAACAAACACCCTTCATGCCTGGGGGTGCACCAACACAATTGCTGGCACAGCATCCTGTTAAACTATCATTAATCTGTTGTGCCTGCGGGATATTTAATCTTTAAAATTGTGAATGGGGGGAAGTTAAACAATTTTTGGTTTTAGGAGAACTGAAATAAATTTAAAAATTTTAGCTATTCTGTTGATAGAACAGACATAGCATGTTGGTGCACAATTTACCAAAAATCAGACGAATCTATATATATATATATATATATATATGGGAGCTATATCTAAATCTGAATCGATTTCTACAAAACTACATAAATATCAAACAGGACCTAACTTAGTAGGCTGTGCAAAATGTTGTCTCAATCGGACAAATATTGGGTGTTTGGTCTACCACTTGAATATAATCAGATAAACTATATATGGGAGAAATATACTTAAAACTGAATCGATTTTCACGAAACTTAAGACACATAAAACTTCACTCAATTCAGTACGCTATGCCAAATTTCATGCAAATCGAATGATATATAGTGACATTGGTGCACCATTTACCTAAAATCAGACGAAAATGTAGACGGCAGCTATATCTAAATCTGATCCGATTTTCACGAAAGTTAGCACCCATCATTCTAGACTTAATTCCGTACGCTGTGCCAGTGGACCATAGGGACATTGGTCCACCATTTACCTTAAATCGGATGAAAATATATATGGGAGCTGTATCTAAATCTGAAACCATTTTCATGAAACTTGGCACACATCACTCCTGGCGCAATTTAGTACGCTATGCAAAATTTCGTGCAAATCGAAACATAAATAGGGACTTTTGTGCACCATTTACATTAAATCGGACCAAAATATGTATGGGAGCTATATCAAAATCTGAACCGATTCTCACGAAACTTAGTACACATCATTCTAGACTTAATTCAGTACACTATACCAAATTTCGTGCAAATCGAATGATATATAGGGTCATTGGTGCACCATTCACATTAAATCGGATGCACCATTCACATTAAATCGGATGAAAATATATATGGGAGCTATATCTAAATCTGAACCGATTTTCACTTAACTTAGCACACATCATTCTAGACTTAATTCTGTTCGCTGTGCCAAATTTCGTGCTAATCGAAAGATATGTAGGGACTTTGGTGCACCATTTCTATAAAATCGGACGAAACTATATATGGGAGCTATATCTAAACCTGATCCGATTTTCATGAAATTTAACACATGTCTTTCTAGACTTAATTCAGTACGCTATACCAAATTTCGTGCTAATCAAATGATATATAGGGATATTGGTGCACCATTTACATAAATCGGACGAAAATATATGGGACCTATATCTAAATCTGATCCGATTTTTACGAAACTCTGCACACTTCATTCTAGACTCAATTCAGTACGCTATGCCAAATTTCGTGCAAATCGAAAGATATATAGGTACATTTGTGCCCCATTTACCACAAATCGGACGAAAATATATATGGGAACTATATATAAATCTGAACCGATTTTCGTGAAACTGGACACACGTCATTCTAGACCTAATTCAGTACACTATGTAAACTTTCGTTTAAATCGAAATATATATAAGGGCCTTGGTGCACCATTTACATAAAATCGGTCGAAAATATATATGGGAGATATATCTAAATCTCAACCGATTTTCACGATACTTATCGCACATCATTCCAGAATCATTTCAGTACACTATGTAAACTTTCGTTTAAATCGAAATATATATAAGGGCCTTGGTGCAACATTTACATAAAATCGGTCGAAAATATATATGGGAGCTATATCTAAATCTCAACCGATTTTCACGAAACTTAGCACACATCATTCTAGACTCAATTCAGTACTCTATGCCAAATTTCGTGCAAATCGAATGATATATAGGGACATTTGTGGACCATTTAAATAAAATCGGACGAAAATATATATGGGAGCTATATCTAAATCTGGACCGATTTTCACGAAACTTGGCACACATCACTCCTGGTGCACCATTTACATAAAATCGGACGAAAATATAAACCCGAGCTAAATCTAAATCTGAACCGAGCTAAATCTAAATCTGAACCGATTTTTCGTCCTTGTGCCAAATTTCATCCAAATCGGATAATAAATACGACCTGTACTTTGTTTACAATTTAACACCAACAAACGGATGGACGAACAGACGGACATGCAAAAATCGACTCATAAAGTGATTCTATTCATATTCTCTCGTTTCCTTTTGCATGTTACAAACATATGCACAAAGACATAATACCCTGTGGTACAGGGTATTATGTCTTTGTACATATCGTGAAGTGTATTAAAATGACTTTGTTTTCCAATTTTTAAATAGTTTCCCCCACTCCTCTTAAATTCTCCAAACAATCACCTTAACGATTATTGCTTTCATTTATAAATATTTCTTTTCGACAATAAATAAATAAATCTCATAACATTATTATTTTCCCTGATAAAACAAACAAGGTAAACTATTTAACCCCTTAGCAATGAAAAATATCGACAACAAAAATAATTTCATTGACATTAATTTAATTTACAGCTGTTATTGCTGTCAAATATAAATCGCAGCCTCCACTAGCCTCAAAACAAAGGCTTTCAATGCCAGCAACAACAACAATACAATACTCCTCTACTTTGTTTTGATGAAAAATATAGCGCAACATCCAATGAACATGACGAAAAAACCCCTCCTTCCTTCATTAAAAATAATTTGATGTTTCCTTAAACGATAAGTTTAACAATGGCCCGCACAGGCTGCCAACATTCTGCCCTCCCTCCGCTTTCCCCATTTGCCAATGGCATTATGGCATTTGCCGGTATTCGTTTAGCTATCGCTATGATTATTTTTCATTATTTGTTTTGTAGAGTTGCTTGCTTGCCTGACTGACTGGCTGGCTGGCTCTCTTACACTTACCTCAGGCTCATTGCCATCCGATACCAAATTACGGGCACTCCAACCATCCGAACCAATCCATGAAAAAGCGCCAGTGGCATTGTTACGGCGTACAGCTCGCATAACTTCACGTACTTCCTGATCGGATCCAAATATTATGGCACCTGTTTAGAAGAGGTAAAGAAAAGGGTGGTTAGAGAACAATTGTTTTAAAAGTAAATAATACAAAAAAGGTGCACACACACACACACTCACTCACAAACTTGTACACCTTGCGAAATTTCAACATAAATATTAAAACTTAATGAGTGAGCAAAAAACTGAAGGCACACTCAAAATAATGGCAGAAGGTGTTCGACCAAATGAAAATTATGCGAGTGGAGAAGTGTTGGACCGTTGCTATGGTGGTAGTGGTATTGGTGTGAAACAAAAAAATATTGCTGCCATAAATTTACACCATTATAATAATGAAGGCCCAAAACGGAAATAAAATATTTCTGCAGTTTTAGTTTTCAATAAAATATAGGGTGATTTAGAGGTTTGAATATTAGGGTATTTTTGAAAAAAAAAACAAAAATAAATAACAACTATTTTTAAAAAATCCACAGCGTTTGTCACATCTTAAAAACCAGTAAGGGAAGTAGTAACGTCGGACGGGGCCGACATTATTCTGGACTAAATTCAGTACGCTATGCAATATAAAAACATTGGTACATTATTTACATTACATCGGACATATATATATATATATATATAGATTTGAACCGATTTTCACGAAACTCAGCACACATCATTCTAGACTCATTTCAGTATGCTATAGAAAATTTCGTCCAAATCGAAAGGTATAAAGAGACTTTGGTGCACAATTTCCATTAGATCGGACGAAACTATATATGGGAGCTATATCCAAATCTGACCGATTTTCACGAAACTTGGTAGATATCACACTATACTCAAATAGGTACGTTATGCCAAATTCCGTGCAAACTGAAACATATATAGGGACTTTGGAGCCCCATTTACCTTAGATCGGACAGAAATATATAGGAGCTATATATAAATCTGACTCGATTTTCACGAAACTTGGTGGACATCATTCTAGATTCAATTGAGTACGATGTGCCAAATTTCGTGTAATTCGAAAGATATATAAGGACTTTGGTACACCATTTACCTAAAATCGGACGAACATACATATTGGGACTATATCTAAATCTGAATTGATTTTCAGGAAACTTAAAACACATCATTCTAGACCTAATTCTTTACACTCTGCCAAATTTCGTGCAAATCGAAGTATATATAGGGACCGTTTACATTAAATCGGACGAAAATATATATGGGAGCTATATCTAAATCTGAACCGATTTTTTCCAATTTCAATAGATTATAGACACATTCAAATACTCTATCCCAAATTTCGTGCAAATCGAAAGATATAGAGGGACTTCGGTACACCATTTACCTTAAATCGGACGAAGATATATATGGGAGCTATATCTAAATCTGAACCGATTTTTACCAATTTCAATAGGGTTCGTCCTTGGGCCAAATAAATGAGCTGTGCCAAATTTCATCTAATTGGGATTATAAATGCGACCTGTACTTTGTTTACAATTTGACACCAACAGACGGACAGACGGACGGACATGTATAAATCGACTCAGAAAATGATTCTATGCATATTCTCAAAATGAACTATGGGTCTATCTCATAATACCCTATACCACAGTGTGGTGAAGGGTATAAAAATCCACTCTTATGTTGGGTACTTGAAAAAATATTTTTAAAAAATCCACGCCTAAGGTAGCTATTTGATTTTAAAAAATTCACACCTAAAGCTGGATCCTGAAAAATGTTTCTAAAAAAACCCACGCCTATATTTTAAAACCAGTGAGCGGAGCAGTATAGTCGGACGGGGCCGAACATACGATACCCTACACAACTACCACAGAACTCTATCTTTCTGCGGATTTTTATTCCGAGCTTGGGTAATGGATCCTGAAAAATGTTTCAAAAAACCCACGCCTATATTTTAAAACCACTGAGCGGAGCAGTATAGTCGGACGGGGCCGAACATATGATACCCTACACAAATACCACAACTACTATCTTTCTGCGGATTTTTTTTCCGAGCTTTGGTAATATTTCGTGATAGTTGCACCCACTTACACTAACATATTATCTTCCTTACACTGGAACATTTCAAAGCGATCCGCGCATATATTTCCGCCCTCTAGTGTGGTAATGGTTTATTAAATAATATCTGAATACGTAAGCTCCTGTAAATATGTACGTGTAACTCTCACATCCGAGTACATACGACAATATAATTTGTATCAATTTAAAGGTCAACCACTATATTTGGATATACTATCAACTTCTCGGGTCTATCTCCTTCAGAGGTAGATATATACGCTAAAAATAACAATTTTGTAATTTTTCACACAAAAGTCAGGGTCCATTTGACCCGCTAAATATTGAACGATTTTTATCAAAACAGCCATGCTTATTATTTGCTCCGATCCCCTTCTCCATGTAAAATTTCAAGATGTTCGGACCATAACTGCAGCCTTTGTAGCGACCAGAAAAACCGACAAAAATTAAGTATTTGGTCCATTTCATCCCCTAAATATTAACCGATATTTATCAAAAACAATAGGGGTCTGGGCCGAACCCTTCCTACATAAAAAATTTCGTGAAGATTGGTCCATAACTGTGACCTGTATCGTGCTTACAAATCATAATGGACAGACGGACGGACACACATGTCTAGATCGACTCAGGTAGTCGAGATATGGCGATCGGTATACTTAAAGGTGGGTCTAGGACCATTTCATCTCCTAAATATTAACCGATATTTACCAAAAATAATAGGGGTCTTCATTGAGCCGAACCCTTCCTACATACAAAATTTCGTGAAGATTGGTTCATAACTGTGGCCTGTATCGTGTTTACGTGTTTTACGGACACACATGTTTAGATCGACTCAGGTAGTCGAGATATGGCGATCGGTATACTTAAAGGTGGGTCTAGGACCAATATTTCGCGGCGTTACCAACTCATGGGGCTGCACAAAGCTATAATACCCTGACAACATAGTTGTGTAGGGTATAAAAATTCACTCCTATGCTGCTACCCTACAAAATATTTGTAAAAGGTCCACTTCTAGACAATTCTCATAATTTTTTAAATTTTTCATTTCTATTTCCATTTTCATTTCTCAAAAAACATTCTTGTAGGCCAAGAGACCACCCCATCTTTTGTTGACTACTTCACCGGCTTTTTGGCAATGCTTTTAGGAACATTTCACACTAGCCAAAAGTTTTGTGAAAAGGATTTTTAATGAATACGGTTATGAAAAGTTCGTCGTCGATGAATGGCATTAAAGTTTGGGGGGCGGAAAAATAATGGAACAAATTTATCAAAGTTCAAAAATGCAATTTTTTGTCGTCACCGAAATTCTGGCTGTGGTTACTTCGTTAATTTTTTTTTTGTTAGCCACAATTGTCATTTTGCCAGTTTTTCAAGGAGGACGAAAGTGGGGGAGGGGCTTGGGTTGTTCAAATATAACTTTAGTTCTAAGAATGTCTATTTTGGTCATATTTTAATTGACCACAAACGTGTGGTGAACAACGAACAGCGAAGATGCTGAGAAATGCTGTGGTGGAGTTTAGCCAGGGATGGTGGGAGGAGGCGGAATGTGTTGGAATTTAAAAATATATTTTAAAAACAAATTTTTAAATAATTTTTTGATTTTAATTATTTTTTTGTTTAATAAAATTTATTAAATGACAAAATGATAATTTTTTCCTCTATCCCCTGTTCGCCTCTCTTTCTGTCTCTCTTTTAATCTTTCTTTTGGTGCATTCCCAAAAATGTATTACAATCTTAAACATCTGTGCGGTTTTGTCATGAATTTTAGTTCTAGTTTCCGAACCACGAAGTTCTTATACTCGCTCTACAATGAAGTGACTCCATGTCCCGGAAAAATATAAATAAAAACAAAGCACAGAGGAATAAAATCCCTTTTTGACATTCTAGACACATTTGTCACGTTTATCCATGTTTCAGCACCATTTGGTATAAATAGTTGTGTGTGTGTCTGTGTCCTTGGAATACAAAAACAACAAAAATGCAATAATCCAATGAAAAGCTGTTGCTAGAGTACAGCTGTACATTAACTAATTTGATTGATGAACCAAAGGAAGAGCTGACATTGTCAGGCGGATGACTTGCACAGAGGTCAATGGAAGGACTGAAAGGAAATAAGGTTTTCTTATGGAAAATCTAATATTTCCTATAACAAAAATCCGATATTTTGCAGTCTTGCCTTGTACAGTTTTTTAAGGTTTAAAGGCTCCGGCTCAAAATAAATAAAATTTTAATTGCTCATTTTTTTCTTAAGACAAATTTCCATTATTTAGTTTCCCTTAACAATGAGTTCATTGAAAAAGCAAATCTCTAAATTATTTCCATACATTTCACCTACCCCAACATCCTCCCCACTCATCGTAGAAGCTCATAAACTTTCCTCTTAGTTGATGATTTTGTGCTGTGTGTTCACTATTTTTTTGTTTTTGCGCACCAACAATAACTTGGGCCATAAATTAAATTGAAATGTGTGCGCAATGGCATGGCACGTGAAGCCATGGCTAGTCCACTTTGAAATATTGACCATTGAAGGTACTTGGAAATGAAAAATGTCCCGGGCATTGTTAGGCTAAATGATTTAAGAGATTGCTGCTGCAACTAGGCTAATGACAAATGTAATTGGATATTTGGTTGATTTCGAAGAAAAGGTTAAATGCTCAAGTCGGCGATAAATTTTACTTGGAAATATACTGAGAGAGGGAAAAAGATTTCTAAAAATATTTTTTCAAGGGTTCAACAAAGGCACAGATTTTTATACCCTACACAACTATGTTGTCAGGGTATTATAGCTTTGTGCAGCCCCAAAAGTTTGTAACGCCGCGAAATATTGGTCCTAGACCCACCTTTAAGTATACCGATCGTCATATCTCGACTAGCTGAATCGATCTAGACATGTGTGTCCGTCCGTCCGTCCGTCCGTCTGTCCATTATAATTTGTAAACACGATACAGGCCACAGTTATGGACCAATCTTCACGAAATTTTGCATGTAGGATGGGTTGTGGCCAATG